TCTGCTATCCTAACTAACAATAAATTAAGACCCCGACTGACTTCCTGGTTGGGGCCCCCTAGCAGGCTCTTATATCGCTTATGACTAGAAATGGCACTGATCGGTTGTGTATATCCAGCTATATGCCTTAACCCCAAATTAATGGAAGAAATCTGGAAAAGACATCATGATTATATTTTCCATTCATTTGGATTGTGGTATATAGTTAGATATATACACCTGATGGTGTGGGGAATGGATTAATCCTGACATTACTATTGACATCTGAAACCATCCAACAAACTTTGATTTTGGAGTGTAATGTCCTTTTAATGGTCAACATTTTGTCAGTCTGTCAAATAATGTCTGTTAGTCTGTATCAATTCAGTTTCATACATAAGTTACCTTTGTCCAAGTGTTCTTTACCTCAACCTGCCTGCTGTAAATTAACCTTTGCTATTAGTTGGCCTATGCTGCCATCTAAGGATATATATATATTTTAATATTTTTTTCCAAACTAGAATACAAATCCTAAAGACCGGAATTTAGGAATTACAACACACACACACGCACGCACACGCACACACACCTGTCTGTAGGAAATTCTACTTGTCATCTGCTGCCATCTGGTGGATATCCCCTCCCAGTACTATCCAATTTGAGGTCCTACGGTTGAAGTCGGAGGTTTACATACACTTAGGTTGGAGTCAATAACACTTGTTTTTCAACCACTCCACATATTTCTTGTTAACAAACTATAGTTTTGGCAAGTCGGTTAGGACATCTACTTTGTGCATGACACAAGTAATTTTTCAAACAATTGTTTACAGACAGATTATTTCACTTAGAATTCACTGTATCACAATTCCAGTCGGTCAGAAGTTTACATACACTAAGTTGACTGTGCCTTTAAACAGCTTGGAAAATTCCAAAAAATGATGTCATGGCTTTAGAAGCTTCTGATAGGCTAATTGACATAATTTGAGTCAATTGGAGGTGTACCTGTGGATGTATTTCAAGGCCTACCTTCAAACTCAGTGCCTCTTTGCTTGACATCATGGGAAAATCAACAGAAATCAGCCAAGGCCTCAGAAAAAGAATTGTGGACCTCCACAAGTCTGGTTCATCCTTGGGAGCAATTTCTAAACGCCTGAAGGTACCAGGTTAATCTGTACAAAAAATAGTATGCAAGTATAAACACCATGGGCCCAGCGTCGTCCGGGTTTGGTCGGTGTAGGCCGTCATTGTAAATAAGAATTTGTTCTTAACTGACTTGCCTAGTTAAATAAAGGTAAAATAAAAAAATATCTTTAAAAAAATACCGCTCAGGAAGGAGACGCGTTCTGTCTACTAGAGATGAACGTACTTTGGTGCGAAAAGTGCAAATAAATCCCAGAACAACAGCAAAGGACCTTGTGAAGATGCTGGAGGAAACATGTACAAAAGTATTAATATCCACAGTAAAACGAGTCCTATATCGACATAACCTGAAAGGCCACTCAGCAAGAAAGAAGCCACTGCTCCAAAACCGCCATAAAAAGCCAGACTACGGTTTACAACTGCACATGGGGACAAAGATCTTACTTTTTGGAGAAATGTCCTCTGGTCTGATGAAACAAAAATAGAACTGTTTGGCCATAATGACCATCGTTATGTTTGGAGGAAAAAGGGGGTGGCTTGCAAGCTGAAGAACATTATCCCAACCGTGAAGCACGGGGGTGGCAGCATCATGCTGTGGGGGTGCTTTGCTGCAGGAGGGACTGGTGCACTTCACAAAATAGATTGCATCATGAGGAAGGAAAATTATGTGGCTATATTGAAGCAACATCTCAAGACATCAGTCAGGAAGTTAAAGCTTGGTCGCAAATGGGTCTTCCAAATGGACAATGACCCCAAGCATACTTCCTAAGTTATGGCAAAATGGCTTAAGGACAACAAAGTCAAGATATTGGAGTGGCCATCACAAAGCCCTGACCTCAATCCTATAGAACATTTGTGGGCAGAACTGAAAAAGTGTGTGCGAGCAAGGAGGCCTACAAACCTGACTCAGTTACACCAGCTCTGTCAGGAGGAATGGGCCAAAATTCACCCAACTTATTGTGAGAAGCTTGTGGAAGGCTACCCAAAACGTTTGACCCAAGTTAAACAATTGAAAGGCAATGCTACCAAATACTAATTGAGTGTATGTAAACTTCTGACCCACTGGCAATGTGACAAAATAAATAAAAGCTGAAATAAATCATTCTTTCTACTATTATGCTGACATTTCACATTCCTAAAATAAAGTGGTGATCCTAACTAACCTAAAACAGGGAATTTTTACTAGGATTAAATGTCAGGAATTGTTAAAAACAGAGTTTAAGTGTATTTGGCTAAGGTGTATGTAAACTTCCGACTTCAACTGTAGTTGTGTCAAAAGACACCCGATAAAAATAAATGGATCTGAGCATCCAGACCGAGGTCTCATATGGATTTGCTGTTTATACGTTAGGGAAAAGATCAGATATGTATCAGATATTCCAAATAATTGGCAAAAGATCAGAATTCGGTTGCCTGTGTAAACACAGCCAAATTGTGCAAAAACAGCTCCCTGATTAAAATGTAAAATAGTGGGCCTCCCGAGTGGCGCAGCGGTCTAAGGCACTGCATCGCAGTGTTGCGGCGTCACTACAGCCTGGGGTTCGATCCATGTTTCATCAGCTGAAATAAAAGATCCCAGAAATGTTCCATATGCACAAAAAGCTTCTCTCAAATGTTGTGCACAAATTTGTTTACATCCTTGTTAGTGAGCATTTGTACTTTGCCAAGATAGTCCATCCACCTGACAGGTGTGGCATATCAAGAAGCTGATTAAACAGCATAATCATTACACAGGTGCACCTTGTGCTGGTGACAATAAAAGGCCACTCTAAAATGTGCAGTTTTGTCACACAACACAATGCCACATATGTCTCAAGTTTAGAGGGAGTTTGTAATTGGCATGCTGACTGCAGGAATGTCCACCAGAGCTGTTGCCAGATAATCTAATTTTAATTTCTCTACCATAAGCCGCCTCCAATGTTGTTTGAGAGAATTTGGCAGTACGTCCAACCAGCCTCACAACCAAAGACCACGTGTAACCATGCCAACCCAGGACCTCCAAATCCGGCTTCTTCACCTGCGGGATCGTCTGAGACCAGCCACCTGGACAACTGATGACACGGTGGGTTTGCACAATTGAAGAATTTCTGCATAAACTGTCAGAAGCCGTCTAAGGGAAGCTCATCTGCGTGCTCGTCGTCCTCACCAGGGTCTTGACCTAACTGCAGTTCGGCATCGTAACCGACTTCAGTGGGCAAATGCTCACCTTTGATGAGCACTGGCACGCTGGTGAAGTGTACTCTTCACGAATGAATACCGGTTTCAACTGTACCGGGCAGATGGCAGACGTGTATGGCGTCGTGTGGGGGTGAGTGGTTTGCTGATGTCAACGTTGTGAACAGAGTGCCCCATGGTGGCGGTGGGGTTATGGTATGGGCAGGCATAAGCCATGGACAATGAACACTACTGCATTTTATCGATGGCAATTTGAATGCACAGAGATAACGTGACGAGATCCTGAGGTCCATTATCGTGCCATTCATCCGCCGCCTCCACCTCGTGTTTCAGCATGATAATGCACAGGCCCATGAGCAAGGATCTGTACACAATTCCTGGAAGCTGAAAATGTCCCAGTTCTTCCATGGCCTCATACTCACCAGACATGTCACCCATTGAGTATGTTTGGGATGCTCTGGATCGACGTGTACGACAGCGTGTTCCAGTTCCCGCCATTATCCAGCAACTTTGCACAGCCATTGAAGAGGAGTGGGACAACATTCCACAGGCCACAATCAACATCCTGATCAACTCTATGTGAAGGAGATGTGTCATGCTGCATGAGGCAAATGGTGGTCACACCAGATAATGACTGGTTTTCTGATCCACACCCCTACCTCTTTTTTTTAAGGTATCTGTGACCAACAGATGCATATCTGTATTCCCAGTCGTGAAATCCATAGATTAGGGCCTAATTTATTTATTTCAATTGACTGATTTCCTTATGTGAACTGTAACTCAGTAAAATCTGTGAAATTGTTGCATGTTGCGTTTATATTTTTGTTCAATAGCACCAATAAGCTTTGTTTAGTCATCTCCTCCCACAACTATCCATCATTCCATGTGTATAAACATCACATTAGTAAAGCCAATATACAATACATTCCTTGCACCCCCACACATCAAAGCAACTATAGAAGCCTTTTCTATTGCAGGTGCCCCTAATCGTAAAGGCCCGTATCAGGTTTCCGAAAATTAATATTTTTTTTCTGCAGGATCCTTTTAAAGGCCCTTTTTACTCAAAAGCCCTAAACTGTGCTGCATGTATGAAGCCTCATATACTTTAGGAGTATATGGTTAACAGTAATATTTGATGGGGCCAATTTAAGTTCCCTGTTATTTGTTGTGTATATACAGTACCTCAGATAGTAGGCGTTGCTTGTGGCTTTCAAATAATATACTTAAACATAAACATCTAAGCAGGTAATGCTTTCTACTGCTTTAAAGATTACATCTTGAGGAAAGATCAAATACACCTGCCTCTTCTACTTTCAAAAATATCCTATATTAAGAACATCTGCAGAATGTTCATTTTAGTCATTTGATACCGCAACAAATAGTTACATTTTATTTCTAGATGTTTCTAGATATTTAATTTGTTGTTCATGTCTCATCAAAATACAAAACACAATTGTACTACTCTTATTACGCTTGATTTAAATATTGTCCCCACAAATGTTTATAGAATTACATTCTACAGTAATTGCTAGATCCATTTTCAGATCTAATGTGTCCAAGTCTCTTATCCAGGTGTCCAAGTGCATCACTTTCCATAGAGCACTAACACAGCTATTCTAGAGGCACGCTGCCAAAACAACATGTTTCATGTTTCCCCTGTGAATACCCAAATCACAGCCGCTGTTCAGAGCCCCAACCCATCCGGCTCAGTCAGGCAGGAAGTCCCTGAATGAGCTGAAGCTGAAGCTGCGGCCAGGGGTGCCAGGAGGATTGGAGTTGATCCTGGGGATCTTCTCCATCAGCTTGGAGACTGCTCTCCTGCGGTATGAGGCTGGGGAAGTGTCAAGTTGATGGATCACATCTCCATAAAGAACATTAAAGACGCCCGCTGTCTCTTCCCATCCGTCACGCACTGAAATCTCATGGAAGGGCAGTTTTAGGCCCCGTGACAGGCCCTCTCCATCCTCAGTGCTCACCATGCGGTCAAACTCAAGGTCCTTCTTGTTGGCCACAATAACTATGGGTGGAGGCTCAGGGCTGCACTTGCGGGCGCCTGAAGAGGAGTGGATGTGATTGACGAGGAAACAGAGGCGCATGACCTCGTCAAAGCTACACCTGTCTGTTACAGAGTACACAATGACAAATCCATCTCCCCACTTGATCTTCTCTTCGATTAGCAGGGCATCTTCCTCCTTACAAGAAATGTATATTTAGTTATAGAACTGCAACAACAACACAAAAATCATAGATCAATAAAATATCTGAGTATACAAAAGATTAGGAACACCTTCCTAATATTAAGTTGCCCTCAGAACAGCCTCAATTCGTCGGGGCATGGACTCTACAAGGTGTTGAAAGCATTCCACAGGGATGAAAGCGTTCCACAGTTGTGTCAAGTTGGCTGGATGTCCTTTGGGTGGTGGACCATTCTTGATACACACAGGAAAATGTTGAGCGTGAAAAACCCAGTAGCATTGAAGTTCTTGACACAAACAGGCGCGCCTGGCTCCTACCCCCGTACCCTGTTCAAAGGCACTTCAATATTTTGTCTTCCCATTCACCCTCTGAATGGCACACATACACAATCCATGTTTCAATTGTCTCAAGACTTTAAAATCCTTCTTTAACCTGTCTCCTCCCCTTCACCTACACTGATTGAAGTGGATTTAACAAGTGACATCAATAAGGGATCAAAAGCTTTCACCTGGATTCACCTGGTCAGTCTATGTCATGGAAAGAGCAGGTGTTCTTAATGTTTTGTATACTCAGTGTATATGATTGAGTGGAACGCATTTGCATAAATAATATGGCCAATTGACTGGTAACACATAGGTCTTCAAACTGGAGAGAAACATGAGTGGTCAATTATGATTAATTAGATAGAATTGTAGGCTACGTCAAAACAATTTAGATTGATTCATAGGATGATTGCATAACTGTTAGGTTAAACCAAGCATGCTCACTTGTCCTGCTGTGTCCAGTATTTCAAAGTGCACCACATCACCACCAATAGACATTTCATGTCTGTATATGGTCTCTGCAGAAAGACATGACATTTGTTTGTCAAACTTGACAGAGTGATCCATATTTCTATTATATTCTATTCATTGTAATTATGTATTAGTCCTTAATGCACTAGGCTACACTGAGTCATCACGCATGGCATGACATACGGGATTAAAGTCGACGCAATCCCTCTCCCTCAATACCTACCGAGTGTTGGGTCATACTCGCCAATGAATCTTCTAGTGATAAATCGCACAGCCATTGCTGTAAAATACGAAATTAAATATGAGTTTGATTAAACTACTTTTGATAGCCATTACACGTGTGAAACTGAAACAAGTCTGGAACTAGAGCGCAAATCAGGATAGTCTGATGATAACACATAACCTATGCTATAATAATTTCTACATCAATTATTGTTTCTATGCAAAAGTGTTTCTGCGCTTACCAGTTTTGCCAACAGCCGCTTGGCCCAGTATCACTATTCTGACGGTTCTCGAAGACAAACTGCCTGTCCTTTTCAAAGTTCTTGATAGACCAAAATGGGTGGACATGGTTTCTTTATCCATTTGGATGTTGTTAATTAAATTAGTCATCAAATTCAACATTCAAAAACATTTCATATTCGATGCGTTCCCAGAGCTGTAAGAGATTGTACCAGCACCCGAACTAGTGAATAGCAACATGGACTCAGGGGTAGACGTAACATAGTAAACTAAAGTAAATAAAATACGGAACACTCAAATTAGTATGAAATGTAATGTTTGGTACAGTATGTATTAATTTGTGGATGACCATTATCCATTACGTATTACAATTCATATGGTTAGGTTAAGTGGTTAAGGTTAGCTTACATACTAAGTAGTTGGAAAGTTGCTAAAAATTTGTAAGTAGTTGCAAAGTAGCTAATTAGCTAAAATGCGAGTTGCTTGTGATGACATTCGAACACGCAACCTTTGGGTTACTAGATGTTCGCGTTATACGCACATCCATCCACCATGACCAATCACCCTCAAAAGAGAGTAACATTCTGTCTTATGTAACCATATCAAACGCAACATATCATACTAATTTGATGGTGTTTTAATAGAACCGACCTCAGTCCTCTTTAAAGTGAACTCTGGGTAAAAAAGAGCAAAATAACTCAGTTCTCTTTATATTCACACTGCCCTTGCCTTTGAATGAGGACTCAACTATTTTGCCAGTTCACTTCACCTATTTTGTGGACCGAGTCCTCTTTGCATGCACATTGATATGTTTAGAAAGGAACCAAAATGTTTTTCCAACATGCACTCTGGGTTTTTACAAAGTCCAGGACAAGCCATTTAACCAGAATCTGTTATTGGACAGCTAGACATACCTACTTACATTTTGGAAGCTAATAGATTGCAATTAGTTCAAATATGAGACTTGATTTGATTGGTAACAGAATACATAGTAATAGAATAACTGCAGAATAAATAATGCTGTCATTGAAATTTGTACACCCAAGGTAGGCTACTGCCCCTTTAAGAGCTAGAATAAATTGCATACCCTATGTTGTGATTCTCACCAAATATGTTGTCTTCTCACACTATTCAAACCCCACAATAATTAAACAGTTTATGAAGCTCTCAGCCTATAGATCACATTTTTTTATTTATTATGATTACTTGTTTGCAATATTTTTGCAAACAAATAATCTAAAAATAAAAACTCTTTGACAATCGCTAATCAATATCCAAAAACAGGACACATTTTCTTCCACGAACCTGCACATCATCATCTTCTCTCTTTTGTGGCACCAATCTGAGGGTTTATGGCAGGAGAAACGGTGTTGCAGTAGTCTAGTGTGTGGTGCAGGAATAATGAAAAGCGAACTTAGGGAGCCTTGCATTCACATTGTCCTAAAAAAGGGAACCAGACCGCGGAATTAAAGCGAGATGGTCTGTTTGGTTCGGGGGCTCTTTTGAGGGGTCTGAGTTCTTTTGGAGTGTTCACACTGCACAAAAAATAAAGCGAACCACACTGAGTTCACAAAAATTGGCTGAAGGGGACCAAGTGTCCCAGATTTTCACTTACTATTGTATGTCTAGTCTATGAGACCAGGCTGGAATACCTCAAGTTTCCCTTGACTGTCTTCAAGCTAGGTTTCTCCACTCTGCAACATGATTTCATAGGTGTCCTATGGCTATTTGTCATTTAGGTGAGAACCTGTGCCTGGATTTCACCAATTTCATAACAGATTCATAAACAATTGCTTTAATTGTACTCATATAGCACATCTAAAAAAATTAAAAATAAAAACATCTGATTACATAAAAAAAGTACATTTACAAAGATTCACTTGAAAGATACCAAATGTTGTCCATAAACACATTTTCCCATTATATTTTCATACTGAGCAATTTCAGTGGCACATTCACTGGCCAAAACGTTATTTACATTTCAAAATATATAGCATCATGTCAATCTGGGAGCAACTTCAATTGTGTTGATCCGAAGCACTGTCTGTGGTTGCACAATAACTGAAAAAGGAAAAGACAATAGTTAGTCTTGCAGCAGCCACACTTACAGGGCATTATTCTGAAAAACACACTGTCAGGTTATTCATATTGCTTTTACAGAATTTACTTTAGAGGATGAATATAATTTAGAATGTTTGAACATTTAATTAATGAAAAATGCTATTATAATGCAAGGACTCAAGTGTGCCTCTCTTTTTTGTTGTGATATCCTGGGGAATTTCCTCTCTCTGGAGAGATTTCATGTTCCTGTTTACTCCAAGAAAACAACATCAAAATTATACTTGACCAGTAACTGGCATGTGTGGACAGAGAAATCTAGGTCATTCATTGAATCTAAAAAGAGAATCTTAGAAATGATGATCCAGTGATCCCCCAACTATGTATCCCTTAATTAAAACGTGTGTAGTGTACCCCATTCATACAGTGGTTTCCCACTTTCCTTTTCTTCTAGCTACCTTGGAATGTGTCACTTTCCCACACTAAAACTCTTGCAGATTTTAGACATTTGTTCATGCTGACAATTCTCCCAGGGAAATTATATTTGACATTTACATGAGAGTATTGTTGTTTAGATAAAAAAAATCAAATACATGTCATAGGAATATTAAGGAAATAAAGGAATAGTGTTGTTGCTAGCTTTGATTTGTACACTACACAGTTTCAGAGATTATTTTAACCTCATTGCTTAAATATCAAGAAAAACATTAAACAAGTTTTAAAACATACTTCTTTTCTTCTGGTATCTGTGTCTTTTCCAGAACCGCATATGAACTTTTGGCCAGGATTCAGTCTTCTCAATGACAGTTGCCTCTACTCTGACCAAATCACAACTACATGTGAAAAGAAGAGGGGAAATGGCTGTTAGAATATACAGCTCCAATTTTGTCATATTTCTACACCTTAATGTATACATTCAAAACCCAAACATGCATAATTCCCCCCCCCCAGTTGAGATGATATAGAACTAGAAAACTTACCCGAGTAGGGGCCTCCCAATCAGTGTGAACTCTTCTCCACCAACCAGCAGCACCTATTAGATGAAAGTATTTTGTCCATAAATAAAAGTGTAGCCTATAACACTACACTTGATGCTAGGGTCTACCAACATTGCAGTTAACAGACTTATTTGTGTGCCAAAAATAGGGCGAGCAAAAATATATGTTATATTTGAGAACTGTAAGTTAGTAATATCCATAAAATAATTTACAGATGTTTGGGTTGACAATGACAGCTATGGAGTTGGTAAGAGCATAAAAAGATCTGGGACCAGGCTATAAAGATATGGCAAGTGTGGAAAATGTGTCCTTTCCAAATAGTAATAACACAAAGAATATAAAGCACACAGACCTTCTCAAGAGTAATCCGGTCACCACATTCAGCACCAATGTGGTTTTCAATTAAGATCAGGTCTTCATTTGTCACTTTCCACTGTCGACTTGCAAAATGGACAACTGCAAAAAGTCTTCCATAGTCTTCCTTTGCAAGAAGAGTGTTCACATTTTCTACAACCACTGAAAGGCAATGGGAGAGTGATCGTTCAGACACAGTAAATTACAAAAACACTGAATCTAAAGATTGATTTAGCCCTAGGCTGATATTTTATGTCCATCTTCCACTCCAAAATAGGCCGGTATTAAAATGTTTTAGAGGACAATTATTTCTCGTAAATAGTCTTTGATGTGTGTTTAATGTAGGTATTGCTTTATCAAAACACCTTTGTGCTGCCTCTCCTCTTCTTCAGGGGTGATATAGGACACTTCTGGCCACAAGGGTCTGGATAAGGACGTCTGTGGTACATAACTGCTGGGGAACATGAGCCGAAATTGCGTTATTTTTATTCCATCATATTTTGTGTGGGTGAAGGCGTTCTCTTTAAATGACTTGAGATCAGACATCACACAGTAAGAATTGTAATCTAGAATCAATATGGAGAATGAAGTAATACGTAATAATTGAACATTATGAAGTTGAGTGGATATACTGTACCTTGATGGTAATTTGATGCTCTGAGAACTTTGGTGACGTGCTAGGGCAGGACACAGAAGTCCTGAATGACAGATTCTTCAGTTAGTTTTTTCCCTCAGGGAGATTGATCCTATTCATTCAGTTTGAAATACATGCTTGTTGTGTAACTATTCACTGGCTATAAATTATTTACACACCAAGATGATGCTCAATACATTAAATTGCGACCAATATTATACAGATGAGACGCATTAATGAAAGCTGCTGTTTTGCCTTTGGATTTCAACACAACAGACTCATCAAGCTTGTCAGATGTAACCTAACCGGCTAATGGTTAGCTAATGTGCAAACTTAGCTGTCTCTATTCCAGATATAATCAATTGCACGAACAATTTGACCAGTTTAGATTTGTCGACAACAACCTACCCATTTCATTAAGAACAGGAATCTTAACATGATGTGCTTGTAATCTCCAACACGTTCTCAGCATCTCCAGATATCCATTCCTGAAAGTCAGCGCCATCTTGCCTGTGAATGTTAGGTGTTACAGTCATTACATTCCCCGGATTGCTGTCAAGTAAAATAAGTTCCTATTAAAAATTGTTGCCATTAGGAAATTAAAGATACACTATACAGATATGGCTCCGCCATTTCCTGGTTGCTAAAATTCAAATAGTTCGCCTAATTTCATGTTATGTGACAAAACAAGCAAGTATAGTGTAGAGATTTATTGTACCATCTAAACCGCTGTGAAATATATTTTCCATAACCAAAAATATTGTATTTTCAGCTGTTTGAAGCTGGTGTACAAAACTGAAACTAAAAGACAAAAAACACAATTTAAGAATAGGAAGCATATAAATAGCGCACATAGAACATATCTACCGCTTCAATGAGATCTATAATGCACATTTCTATGTGAATTTGGTTGGTCGCCCAAAAAATTACATAATGCGGCTTTAAGACCCAACATTTCACAAGTTTTTTTTAATACATTTAATACATCAATGCAGTGTAAGGCAGACATATGTGTGAATGAATTAGAAATATGCTGCCACATACCTAAAGAATAACATATATAATTAATAATCTTAGATTGTCAAAGACGCCAGCCACTCAAGTCATATAGTCCTCTCTGCTACCGCACAAGTCTGGAACCAACAGGACCCTGAACAGTTTCTACCACCAAGCTATAAGAAGGTTAAATAGTTAACCAATAGCTACCTGGAATATCTGCATTGACCCTTTTTGCACTAATCTCTTTTGACATTACATAAACTGCTGTTATGGTCTTGCACATTGACTCGTTACTGGTACACCGTGTATATAGCGAAGTATCATTAATTTTTTCCAATTTTTTCTACAATTTCGATTTTTCTTTCAGTGTTGGGAAGGTCCTGTAAGCATTTCACTGTTAGTCTACCCCGGTTGTTTACGAAGCATGTGACAAACATTTGATTTGATAAGGCATACTTTTTATTCGAAAATAAATACATAAAAAACTATATTTTTGTAGATTCCCATGCAGACTTTTCCAAGCCGCTCAACACTTTGGCAAAAGCAAACAGAATAGTGTCTGTAGACACCTCTGTGGCAAAGAAACAGCTCAATTTTTTTTAGGGAGGTGTACCAGTAGGTCAAATAATGAGAATGTCACAGTGGGGTGCCAAAACACAGTTTAATATTACTGTATTGAATTACCATTTCCTTGTCAAGATTGTGTGATCTCTTTTTTATATGCATTGGCAGAGATATTTATAATAACTAACAGAAGCAGACTACAGTGCTGCAACCTTTGAAATGCCTGTCCTTAGTCTTCGTTTTGCTCGCTCCAACCTGTCCCTTAACTTTTTGTAGGTTGGTGAGAAAGACAAACACGTCTGGTCATTTTCAGTGCCAGAGCCCATGCTTCCCAAATGGTCTAGCCTTGCGTGTTAGGCCTCTCTCTAGGTTGTCTAACGGTAATCATCATGGAGGCCATAATCATGCAATGTAGGGCCTAAGTAGAAAAGGCTTCCTGCTTTTACAAATTGCAGTAAATCAAGATACCAGGTGGTGTCCTCATGTAAAGAATGTAGCTAAACTTGGAGTTGAGGCATGACAGGCTCTCATCAGGGATCTGTCAAATGTGATGCAGCGGTGTTCCCCTACCATGAAATGTACTTTGACGCAACCAAAAATATGTTCTGGAAATTTACGTTTTCTAGTTGACTTACATATTTTAACACATTATGCCTTCATATTTCCTTCAGAGTAAAGGGCAAATAGTCAGAAACAGACAATTGTAATATGAATCTTTAAACATTTTAATTGTACATAAACAAACCAACCAACCAAATAGGGATCACAATTTTGGCTCACAAAACAACTGCTTATTGAGTGTGCACTTAGCTTCACGCCTGTGGAGACAGTGTTATCCTTAATCAAAAACATTTAAGACAATATCGAACTGAAATTATTAAAAAAGCAACTGTTTAGGCCATCTAATAAATTCAGCAATGTCTATGCCTCACAGCAAAATCACAACATTTAAAAACAAAACAAAAATGTATAGAAAGAAAAGCTTTTAATTGAATTCAACTAAAAGGCGACTTCACAGAATTGCATTTTTTAATCAATGAATATTACAGCTGTACAGACTAAGGTTTGGTCATGTGGCAACTAAGCACTACATGGTTTAACATTTTTGAATTTCAATGTCACATTGTGAAATATAACAACTTTGTTCTAGTAGAAAAGGCAAAAACTGTACAAACCAAATGTTAAATACAAATCAGTCACTTTGTACCAATAATAATGCTAAACATATCCAACAGGTTTCTTTTTTAGGATCACATTTAAACTCAGACCTAGCAGCTGACACACCTGGAAATACAATCTGTCACATAATAATATTAAAATTAAATGAGCCCAGTCAATCCAAATACAATTTGTCTGTATTTTTTCTGCAGGTCAATTCATTTAAGGAGATTCCATCCAACACATTTTTGTTGAACAATGGTAGATCAATAACCCAGAGAAGTGGTTTTTAATGGTGAAAATAATTAAAGGGTAGTTCTGAGTACAGAACATGTGACAGTTCTATGATGTGGGAAGCAGTTCCATTTCAAAAACCAACCTTGATTCGAGAAGAGGGCCCTGACATTAAACAACAGGGATGGAGCCATTTTTTAACTACTGCAAAGACAATGGTTTGTATACATGTGGACCACTGAAATGATGACAGTAGAAGGGATTCATATTGCCCAAGTAAAGCAAATTGATGAGGTTAATGCACAACGACACACACTTAACATGCCAAAAGTTATCAGACAAAATCAGAAGGTCAGATAAAGCATCACTTCACATGCTACAGACTGCAATACAACTATATTAAAGACAAGGTATGCTAATAAAACCTGCAAAATGTATCAGGACCTGCATGAAAAGATAGTGTTTAGCCTTTATTATGAGACACACAAATAATTCCTGAAAACACTCCCAACCCAACAGAATTAATCCCAAAGTGTCTACAAATAAGCCTTTAAGGGCACATGCTTTATAACCTGGTTTTAACGCGTGAGATCTTTGATTTTGTACTACAGAAAAATCCAAATAATTCCAACACCTAAATCCCAATATAAAATAGGGGACTCTAAAATCAGTCTCAACACACACACACACGAAAACCTACGAGGTACAACCCACCACATCAACGTTGAAAAAGAAACCAACCCCTACTTTTGTTGCCCAGATCTTAACTTCAGAGGGTAACGTGTAAGAGATAAATGTGACCAACAGCATCGTTTGGCACTAGTTTATTCATATAAAAAACTCAAATCACATTTTGCTGAGGATTTCAGTGCAGTTACAAAAAACGTGCATACTAAATATATATTTAACTGCGAAAAGAAACTCAATTCTGCTCATTTTGTATATTTTATTATTCAGACTAAGGATGATTTCCACACAAAAGGAAATGAAAACATTATGTGCCTGTGATGACTTCACACACTGAAAGACAAAAACGGTGATTCAAGTGTATATCGTTGTCACTCAATAGAAACTCCCAAAAAATTACCATCATGCCAACTAACCTAGCACAAAATTACAAAGTCATCCCCAGTTTAGCAAAATGTGACCAAAGACATCCTAAAAAAAGTTTAGAACTTACAAGAGAATAAACACCCACACGCAAAAGTAGTTTCTATAAATTGATTGGTTGCTTTCAGACACAAAACAAAACGTAGTGTGGGGGCGCTAGGAAGACCGCTCAAAACATAATGGAAAAAATAAATGAATTTACTATCAAGGTAAAATTAAACAAAACAAAATAAACAGATTTGGAAAAAGCTAGTGGTTATGTCAGTAAGTTCTAGAAAAATAGATTCTCTTTTTTGCTTGTAACAATAGTAGCTTTATACATTTATTTTATTGGCAGTCTTTCTAGCGCACCCTATTGGCAGCACAAAGGACAAAAGAGAAACACAGAACAAAACATTTTCCAATAACGACAAAAGCTAACAAAAAGGTCAAATGGTGAACATTTCAAGCGTCAGAGAAGTGCAGAGGACACTGGACGATGAACTTTTGACGTCACATCAACATGCTAGGCAAACGATGAACAAACGGGCACGAAGATATCTAGAATAAAACAAAACAGGGAGACAAACCTAGGTTAAAGCAACAACGGAAAAAGGAGAGGGAAGAAAAAAGAAAATCATGAATGATTATCTTTGCATGGGGAAGGGAGGGGGGGGGTCACTACCAGATACCCAATCTAAACACAGAACATTTAATTTAGACAGAAGAGGCGAAAGGGTGAGAGGACAGAGGGGGGCATAGACACAAGCAACATGCGAACGGAGAATTGAGGTGAAAACTTACAGGACACAACAACACCGAGACACCACACTGACTGCCTACTACTGTACAATCAACATTTGTGACTTAGTATTACGTTTAAGGATATTTAATACAGTAGTCAAAAATAAAAAATAAAATAAATAAATGATCGGTAGTATTCCAATTTCAGAAAATAATCCTCCCAAGGGGTTTAGCTCCGTCTGTCCCAATGTGCTTTTATAATTTCCTTACTGATTGTAAAAAATAGCACTTTTTTTATATTCATTGCTTGCAATGATAGTCACCTGGGTTATGAGCCAGCAATATTAGATTAATTGTGCTTTATCACTTTGCTAGAATGATCTATGAGAGCTGATTGTCAACAAATCTGTCAACATTTCTCTTTTGGTTTTGTGCTTTATCTGTTCATAATTCCAACATATGCAATACAATGCAGCTAACTTATATCCACAGCAAAGGAGCTTTTCTCGAGGGCACACTACAAAACTGAGTGAAGTACAGTATCTGTACTTTAAGTGGCAAGGAGGTAACTTTCTTTTTAAATAAGGAGGCAGTTTGTCAATACAATACAGAAAGGGTAAGTAAAGACAGCGCAAACAAACTTCAGACATTTGATATAACAAATGAGTAAAAAAGTTGAAGCTATAAAACTTTAAGACTACATTAGTCTGTTTGGCATCTTCTCATGTTCTCTACCATAATCTGCTACTATTCTTAAGGATTCCACTTCTGTACGCTTACTCTGAACGATGCCTTTCATACAAAAAAAATGTACGAGATGTACAGCAAAGTATACAGTGATGGTTTAGTTAATGTACAATAACAACTAACAACTATGTGCCCCCATCAGTTGAGATTCAGTCTTTGGACTTATTTTAATGGCAGCAAATATCCTGGACTTAACCCTGCACTAACCCTGCTTAAGCCTATTTTCTCAGTTGGTATTGTTATGCACATGGAAATGATAGTTAAATAGGCACACATCTAGGTTGAACTCAAATAAATATTGATTTTCCCTGTAATATGTTCCATTCTTAAAATGGAAGGGGACTACAGTTTCGAAATCTTTAGCAGCACTGGCAAATCCTACTCACTGACAGTTCCATACAAAATTGTCACTTCTGGCACATTAACAATAAACACTTGAATAGGGCTACACAGGTCAGTAGTTAAAACCTCACATATTTAAATGTAGTAACCAACGTCACATTAGGATTCTACAAAATACTGTTGAAGATTCTTGAAACAATCATTTTAATTCAGAGAAATAACGTAGGCAATAAATAGTTCCCGACACTCGGGAGAAGTATAAAACCTCTATAAAAATAGAAAAGGCATAATAGTTTTGTAATATACATCATCTGGACAATTGTTTCTTTCCATTGCTATTGAAACACTTCATAAGTTAATGGAAGTCTAAGAAACTGATTACTGTGTTTGTTGTAGTGATTCACATTTATTTAACGTCGCCAATCATGAAATGCTAGCGTTTTTAGTCAATAATAAATACAAACACTGGAATAAAAATCTGCAGGGAAGCCAGTATTTTGAGGGAGTAGTCTCATCTAACCAGCTCTGAGAGGTAGAGCAGACTACTTGAACTGCGGATGATGAATAATTACAAAACATTTTGGTTAACACAGAGGATAAAACATAATAATAAAATAAATTATAATATCTACTTAGAGCATTATTTTTGCATCAGTAATTAGTAGATGATTGGATAATTTAGGATGAATCTGACAAATGTTAACTTCGAAAGGCCCCAATGTTGTACTTTTTGAACATCTTTTCCAGGACACTCACTATTGCTGCAAGCCTAAAATGCCAAGTGATATTCCATTTAGTGTTAGAAGTAGGACTGATGTTCTACTTGAACTGACAGCTAAAAACAGAAAGGAAATCGATCGAATGTGAATATTCTAAATGGGGCGGAATGCTCGTTTGAAGTTAAAGATCATGGCAGAGTAGAGACTATATAAGTTATTGCCACTATTAAAGTTACTGTTCCTCACTTAAAAAGACCTGTGAAGGGAAGCAGTAGACAGAAGGCCAAATGTACACATCTGTCAGGTGGGGAATAAAATTACTCAAGCCAGATGACACCTTAGCAGCTGTGTTCATTAAAACTTAAAGTAGGACCCAATTACTCCTCCCTTCACACACATTCAGCACAGTATCTGTTAATGATGCAGGACCCCATATTCTCTATCAGATATTCAATTGAAAAAAGGGTGAAGTATTTCAGATAAACTACACTACATGCCTGAAGCAAGGGTGTGGCGTTGTGACATTGTCCTGAGACAAATCAAGAGGTTTGCAAGTTAAATATCCCACAAAACCATTCAAGGCAATACTGCTGACGTCTTACGAATCAATTCATTCAGAGTTGTAAAAAATTATATTTTGCTCCAAAATATAACGTTGAGAACAGAAATTCAAGCTTCTTGTTGGTTGTTGAATAAATAAATAAATAAACAAACAAACAAAAATATAAATAATAAGTAAAAGCCTACTGTATGCAATGTATTCCTGGTACAGCATCACAAATAGACTTTTCAGGCAACTTATATATTTTTTTAAATGGCTCATCTGCTGGAGTGAAGTCAGATCTTGCGTACATGTAGATAATTGAAGTTGGCAAACAGCTATTGTTTTCTTTCCATTATCCGGTGCATGGTCTGTCCATCCTCATTTCAAAATGGCAGTTTTCTGAAGGCTCTGCATGACGCTCAGTGTCCTAATGTACTGTATCAGTTTAAGAATGCAACCATGCGGATGGTTTGGTTATGAGGGGATTAATTTGGAGTGTGGTCAGGGGGCATGGGGCAGGATTAGGTGGTGATGGGAGCATGGGTAAAAATCAAGGGGATATTTTGGCAACTGGCTGTCATTGTGCAACATCATTATGACTTAAAACTTTTACACAGCAAACTCATGACACCTTAACTTAAATTTTAAAATACAATTGTTTAAAAAAGAAAAATTCAAAACCAAACCAGAATGTAAGTATCCAGTTTCAGTTGACTAAATCATATACTTAACATCATTATGCATGTTGTTTTTGTTTTCTGCTTGCGTTTGTTAATACAGAGAATAAAAAGGAGTGACCCCAGCAAAGCGGTAATCTTGTAATGCACAAAGGGAGAGGGAAGAATGAGGAGAGGGTAAGGGTTTGCAGCAGGGTTTTACTTTCTTATTCACACTCCACTTACCAGAAAAAAACATTTCCTAACCAAGTCCAATTGAGAGATAAAGCACTCAGTATGGCTTGCTGTCATTTTTGGATCGCTTCAGCTGCACCTTTAGTCGCTTCATACCAATTTGGAAACCGTTCATCGACTGAATGGCGGCCTGTGATGAGACTGGATTGTCGTAACTCACAAAGCCTGTAAGAGAATCCAGATAAAAGTCATATGCAAGATACAAATCAATCCTTGCCTTCATAATAAGAAGACACTATATACACAGCCTTACTAGTGATGTGCTGTTTACCCCATCCTCCAGCTTACCAAAACACTTGCTGAGGTTGGTCTGCTTGTCAATGAACACCTTAGCGGAAATAACGTTGCCAAAGGGCATGAACATCTGGAGCAGGTCCTGGTCTCCAAACTCCTGGGGGAGGTGGTAGATGAACAAGTTGGCTCCCTCAGGGCCTTAAGGGAGCAGGAAATCATTTATTAAAATGTCTGACACAACAAGATGGCAATGGATACAACTAAGCCAGAGGCAACAATTTTGTTTTTGACAGATTAATAGAATTTCAAAATGTTATCCGAGGAGCCTTCTGATATGGATTTCAGCTCATTTTAAAATGACATTTTCAACAACTAGTACTGTGAAAACATTTCAGAGTGTTGCAATTCAATCTTACCCGTGCTCCGACTGTCGCTTGCTGTTGCAGCATATTTAAAACAAGACAGAACCCTCAGTAGGTGACAATACATATTTTCACCAATATCCCACACTAAGGTCACATCAAATTATTTAACCTATCCCTAAGCTCTTAATATCCCTTGCACTAGTACTACATTCAAACATCAATCACAGCGTAGCATGTGATCCCTGTAGAACAGACATTTGAGTTAACACAAATCTCCTCATCCCAAAGTCCAACCCTTCTATGCCCCATCTCCATCCCCCTACTTGCCTTCCTTCTGGCTTCCTGCAGCACTGACACTCTGTTGGGAGAGCAGGCTCTGGTTGTAGAGGCTGGGGAGGGCAGCAGCAGCGTACTGCTGGATCCCAGAGTAGGCCTGGGTAAGGGCCTCCATGGTGCTACCAGTTCCGTTCGACAGGCCCCCGCTGCCTAGACCGCCGTTCAGGGCTGCCATCCCTAGACACAGGAGCTCTGTTACAAGATTAGGACTAGAATACCTTGTATATGTATCATGCACTCTTCACATTTGAGGTAATATATTTGTGGTAAATTAATTCATACAAATATGTTTGAGTACGCTAACCTGCAAGTGAGCCCATGTTGAGGCCAGCTCCAGCCCCTGCGGCCAACGACTGCAGCGCCCCTAAGGAGGCCATGGGGTTCCCTGAGTTGTTGTTACAGGATGTGGGTGACGATCCTGCTGTGGAGATGAGTCAACCCCAAAACAATGAATCACTTAGAGGAAAATGCAACCATTTGCCTCCGCTAGTAGGACTTCAAAGTCTTAATTCACAGAGCAGGGAACAGATTGAATGCAGAGACTAGGGATGGGAAGGCAACATGAGGAAAGGTTATAAAGGAGATAAAAAAGTGGGACCAACCCTTGTAGGCGTCCCATGATGAGTGTGCCTGATGTCCAGTACCCGTACCTGAGCTGGTGAGCACGCTGAGGGGACTGCTAGAGGTGGTGAGAGCGCTGCTGCCCGTGGGCGTGGCCTGTGTGGCGCTGGCCGCCGCTGCCAGAGCAGCCAGGTTCTGCATGGCATTCAGCCCTGAGACACACGCATAATCTGCACTTAATACGGGCAATGGAACCTAGATCTCACTTAGGTCTATATATAGGCTACACTGAGTCCAAACTAGGATCATGCAATCACTGTTTTTGTTTGACAGCATGTGAAGCTTAAAGCAGAGAGTTGCAGGTACCTTTCCAACACAATCCGAAATGGGTGAGATGGGAGGCAAAAGTACAAACTTCTATAGCAGCTTAGTCAATCAACACAACTAGAGCACTGGCCAACACACACAGAAAGCAGATACAACAATGCAGTGATCTGTGGGGTAAGTCAAGAAGAGGGATAATGAGCTAACTTTGGTAAACATTTTGAATCAACTCGATGAAGTTTCAATATGAAGTTAAAGCAGGCTTTTTAAATCTTGAATAATTGTAGCTTGCCCCATGACATATCCTGTGGTTATCATATTGGAATGAAAATCAGGTATTAAAACATTAATTGCTCAGTTTTTGACATGATGAATTCGATCAGTAGCCACTCGCTGCAGCAGACACACTGCTAGAAACCAGATAAAAAACACCAGTTTGTCTGTTAGTGTTTACGTCTGGAGTTTCCTGGTGGCATCGCGTTACAGCTCAAAATTCGATTAATATATGAGGAGCAGGATTTGAACATGGTCCCTCACCACTGCTAGACACAAACACACACTGAACAAATGACTTGGAGTTCAGGCATGCAGAGAATGATGCACGCAGCAGTATCAATAATGCACATCTTCACCAAGCACATTACAGATGGCAGTTGGATGTGGGAGGAAAACACATTTAGCGTGCAGGTGTAAGAATGGAAAGGGGGAAGGGGTGGGAAATGTCTTTGTTTTTACCTGACATACCAGACATGGGGTGAAGGTTGTTGAGGGCATTCCCAGAGGAGGCAGACTGCTGGAGAAGCTGTAAATAAAGCTAGACATTACACCAAAACAGAGAACACAAAGGGTCAGGACTGCATCCAGGACTGTGCTTTCAGGAAATAAATAGCAGAGAGAAAAAAAGGTAAAGTGGGTGAGGAGGACAGATGAAGGGAAAATGGACAGGAAAGAGTGGAGGTGTAAATGTTAGTGATGAAGAGAGGGGAAGAATCACAGAGAAAAGAGAAGGTGAAAAAACGAATCCAGATAAAACATGATGCTGAGAAACACTGAGTGGGATGAAATGGGAGTTAAGAGGATTTAAATGGAAGGCAAGACAGTGAAGAAAGGGAAGAGGTTGGAAGATTTTCACAGCACACCCATGGAGCAGCACTAACAGCATTGTAGAAAGCTCTGCCGTCTATATTGGACTGGCCACAAAATTGGAGGGTCAGGAGATCCACTCCCCATTCAGAATTAGAGAAGCCAATTGAAAATATATCAGGTCTTTAGATGAGTTGAGACTAGATGGCCATCCAACATAGATAATTGGCAACGATGCAAATATAAATGTCTAACATCTGTCTAGAAACACAGCAAACCAAACACAAGCAAGGAGGGAGGGAGCTGGCTGGATGCAGAAAATGGGTCTTCATCTAACCTGTCAAAGCATTATGAAATGGCCCAAAGACTCATACAGAAGAATCAGATAATGGGTCTACTCCCTAACGTCAGGGAGAATACTTTCGAGGAAAAACTAACCATGTTCAATCAATGGAAACCATATGTCAAATCAAGTCTTATAACAAATTGACAACCTCCAGTTGGCAATGCTCTAGGGCAGGGGTGTCAAACATATGGCCCGCGAGGTGGTCCAATCCGGCCCGCAGGTGGTTTTTAAAAATAAATACAAAACTGAAACAAATCACGTTATTTGTCACATGCTTCGTAAACAACAGGTGTAGACTAAAAGTGAAATGCTTACTTACGGGCCCTTCCCAACAATAAAAATAGACAAATAAAGACAAATAACACGAGGAATAAATACACAATGAGTAACTATAACTTGGCTTTATACATGGTGTACCAGTACCAAGTCGATGTGCAGGGGTACGAGGTAATTGAGGTAGATATGTACATATAGGTAGGGATAAAGTGACTAGGCAACAGGATATATAATAAACAGTAGCAGCAGCATATGAGATCAAAAGAGTTAGTGCAAGAAGGGTCAATGCAGACAGTTAAATAGTTAACCAAATAGCATACCCGGACTATCTATTTAGCAGTCTTATGTCTGGATTTGATTAGAGTTTTGATCGAAAATTCAAGCCCGATGCTACCTGAGCCTGATGAGCCATACATTTAAATGAGCCCTACATTAAAAATAAATCATATAATCCCAAGCCCAAAAAAGCCCAAATGATTGTGCCGTTATCCAATACATATGAGATATAGGCGACTGCGCATTACGCACAACAGAAAAACATAAAAGCCCATAGATGTAGCTAAGTACAGAGCATTTGGAAAGTATTCAGACCCCTTCCCTTTTTCCACATTTTGTTACGTTACAGGCTTATTCCAAACTGGATTTAAAAAACAGGTTTTTAGATTTTTTTGCAAATCGATTCAAAATAAAAAAACAGAAATACCTTATTTACATAAGTATTCAGAACCTTTGCTATGAGACTCAAAATTGAGCTCAGGTGCATCCTGTTTCCATTGATCATCCTTGAGCTGTTTCAACAACTTGATTGGAGTCCACCTGTAAATTCAATTGATTGGACATGATTTGGAAAGGCACACACCTGTCTATATAAAGGTCCCACAGTTGACAGTGCATGTCAGAGCAAAAACCAAGCCATGAGGTCTAAGGAATTGTCTGTAGAGCTCCGAGACAGTAATATGTAGAGGAACAGATCTGGGGAAGGGTACCAAAAAACGCCTGCAGCATTGAGGGACCCCAAGAACACAGGGGCCTCCATCAATCTTAAATGGAAGAAGTTTGGAACCACCAAGACTCTTCCTAGGTGGCCGCCCGACCAAACTGAGCAATCGGGGGAGAAGGGCCTTGGTCAGGGAGGTGACCAAGAACCCGATGGTCACTCTGACAGAGCTCCAGAGTTCCTCTGTGGAGATGGGAAAACCTTCCAGAAGGACAACCACCAATCAGGCCTTTATGGTAGAGTGGCCAGACGGAAGCCACTCCTCAGTGAAAGGCACATGACAGCCCGCTTGGAGTTTGCCAAAAGGCACCTAAAGTACTCTCAGACCATGAGAAACAAGATTCTCTGGTCTGATGAAACCAAGATTCAACTCTTTGGCCTGAATGCCAAGCATCAAGTCTGGAGGAAACCTGGCACCATCCCTACCGTGAAGCATGGTGGTGGCAGCATCATGCTTTGGGGATGTTTTTCAGCAGCAGGGACTGGGAGACTAGTAAGGATCGAGGGAAAGATGAACGGAGCAAAGTACAGAGAGATCCTTGATGAAAACCTGCTCCAGAGCGCTCAGGACCTCAGACTGGGGCGAAGGTTCACCTTCCAACAGGACAATGACCCCTAAGCACACAGCCAAGACAACGCAGGAGTGGCTTCGAGACAAGTCTCTGAATGTCCTTGAGTGGCCCAGCCAGAGCCCGGCTTCACCCTGATCGAACCCCTCTGGAGAGTCCTGAAAATAGCTGTGCAGTGACACTCCCCATCCAACCTGACAGAGCTTGAGAGGATCTGCAGAGAAGAATGGGAGAAACTCCCCAAATACAGGTGTGTTAAGCTTGCAGCATCATACCCAAGAAGACTCAAGGCTGTAATCGCTGCCAAAGGTGCTTCAACAAAGTACTGGGTAAAGGGTCTGAAAATGTGATATTTCATTTTTTTTTTTTATACATAAATTAGCCAACATAAAAAAAAAAAAACCTGTTTATGCTTTGTCATTTTGGGGTATTGTGTGTAGATTGATGAGGGGGGAAAAAACTATTTAATCCATTTTAGAATAAGGCTGTAACGTAACAAAATTTGGAAAAAGTCAAGGGGTCTGAATACTTTCCGAATGCACTGTATATGTGCGTGTGTATTATATATATCTTGAACGGGATTATCTATTTTGGATGCAATTTGAATGGAATTGGTAGGCAACAATTGATGGAGAGAGGGAGAGACAGCTCACGCATGCTCTAATTCAAGGCAACAATATTCGAGTGATAGGCTGTTTTAAAAAACTCTGCAGCTGCAATAACAACATATTTACAATAAAACAATAAGGTGACCCCGAAAGCCAGATGTAAATTAGACATGCATTCGGTCTTTATATTACTGTAGCATAGGCTATGCTGCAGTAAATGTAGGCCTACCTGTCACAAGAAAAAAGATACCATGATGAGATGATAGGTCTACATGCATTGTGAACTGCGCTCCATACTGAGATGGGCTGTCTGTCCCCAACATAAGCGTTGATGATTGATCATACAGAGAGCAGAGAGAAGACCGCAGAGAAGCAAGATTTAGACATTGCATATAATTTAACAGTTCCATTTCATGTCATGCTGTTGATATAAATAATTTATGATAATTTACCGGTTTCTCACAGTTATTTATCCCAGGAAAAGGGAGTGGTTTTGGGCAGTAAATCTCAATAACCGGGTTCCCGCCATTCAACCCTAATCGGTACCGCTTGCCGTGCGGTAGCAGAGAGAACAGTCTATGACTTGGGTGGCTGGAGTCTTTTCTAGGGCCAATTCCTCTGACACGCCTGGTATAAAGGTCCTGGATGGCAGGGAGCTCGGCCGCAGTGATGTACTGGGCCGTACGCACTACCCTCTGTAGCGCCTTGCGGTTGGATGCCAAGCAGTTGCCATACCAAGCGGTGCTGCAGGCAGTCAAGATGCTCAATGGTGCAGCTGTAGAATTTTTTGAGGATCTGAGGGCCCATGCCGAATATTTTCAGCCTCCTGAGGGGGAAGAGGCATTGTTGTGCCGTCTTCACGACTGCGTTGGTGTGTGGACCATGATAACTCCTTAGTGATGTGGACACCGAGGAACTTGAAGCTCTCGAACCACTCCACTACTGCCCCATCGATGTGGATGGGGGCGTGTTCGGCCCTCCGTTTCCTGTAGTCCATGATCAGCTCCTTTGTCTTGCCGGCTTTGAGGGAGAGGTTGTTTACCTGGCACCACACTGCGAACTCAATATACTTTTAAATCATTAAAACCGAATCGAAACTGTGTAGAAATGATATTGGACCTACATTCAATTTTGACGCCGATGAAATAACACATTTTCAGTGCGTCCCTCCGGACCTCTATGTAGACCGGATGCGGCCCCCGGGGAAAAATGTGTTTGACACCCCTGATCTAGAGACTGTCTAAACCAGTCTGCCCAACAGCAGTGCACTTTAATGTGTCCCAGCTGTAACCCTCATCTTTCTAGAACAAACCTCAGATTGTAGCCAATTGCAGCCCAAACCTTAATTTGCTTGCAAACACAAACAAGCTAAGCTTTGTCCTGAATTCCTAACTCTGGAAATTTTAACCTAAAAATCAGTCAATTTCTAAACTGGAACATTAACAAGGGCTTGAAGCCACGGGCCTTTCCAAAACTCTGCTGTGGATCGTGCAGGAGGAGGTGGTCACTTACTGCCAGATACTGTGGGCCCAGAGAGTTGAGCCCGGTCAGATTCCCCCACATTGAGGCAGCGTTGAGCTGCTGCATCTGCTGCTGAAGCTGCTGGGCGATGCGCTTCTGCTCCTTGTCCTTCTGCGTGTCGGCAAACTTAACTACGATGGGAGACGAGCAGCCCTAAAAAGTCGGGACAGACAACAAATGGTGTCATTTGAAAACTATCTTCGATATTCCTCTAGCACGATAACAGCAATTTCAAAATGGCATTACTTGAGTAATGGGCCCTTTAGCCAACCGATCATATACAGTTGAAGTCGGAAGTTTACATACACTTAGGTTGGAGTCATTAAAACTCGTTTTCCAACCACTCCACAAATTTCTTGTTAACAAACTATAGTTGGTTAGGACATCTACTTTGTGCATGACACAAGTAATTTTTCCAACAATTGTTTACAGACAGATTATTTCACTTATAATTCACTGTATCACAATTCCAGTGGGTCAGAAGTTGACATACACTAAGTTGACTGTGCCTTTAAACAATTTGGAAAATTCCAGAAAATGATGTCATGGCTTTAGAAGCAAATCAATCCCAGAACAACAGCAAAGGACCTTGTGAAGATGCTGGAGGAAACAGGTACAAAAGTATCTATATCCACAGTAAAACGAGTCCTATATCGACATAACCTGAAAGGCCGCTCAGCAAGGAAGAAGCCACTGCTCCAAAACCGCCATAAAAAAGCCAGACAACGGTTTGCAACTGCACATGGGGACAAAGATCGTACTTTTTGGAGAAATGTCCTCTGGTCTGATGAAACAAAAATAGAACTGTTTGGCCATAATGACCATCGTTATGTTTGGAGGAAAAAGGGTGCAGCTTGCTAGCCGAAGAACACCATCCCAACCGTGAAGCACGGGGGTGGCAGCATCATGCTGTCGGGGTGCTTTGCTGCAGGAGGGACTGGTGCACTTCACAAAATAGATGGCATCATGAGGAAGGAAAATTATGTGGATATAATGAAGCAACATCTCAAGACATCAGTCAGGAAGTTAAAGCTTGGTCGCAAATGGGTCTTCCAAATGGACAATGACCCCAAGCATACTTCCAAAGTTGTGGCAAAATGGCTTAAGGACAACAAAGTCAAGGTATTGGAGTGGCCATCACAAAGCCCTGACCTCAATCCTATAGAAAATTTGTGGGCAGAACTGAAAAAGCGTGTGCGAGCAAGGAGGCCTACAAACCTGACTCAGTTACACCAGCTCTGTCAGGAGGAATGGGCCAAAATTCACCCAAGTTATTGTGGGAAGCTTGTGGAAGGCTACCCGAAACGTTTGACCCAAGTTAAACAATTTAAAGGCAATGCTACCAAATACTAATTGAGTGCATGTAAACTTCTGACCCACTGGGAATGTGATGAAAGAAATAAAAGCGGAAATAAAATCACTCTACTATTATTCTGACATTTTCACATTCTTAAAATAAAGTGGTGATCCTAACTGACCTAAGACAGGGAATTTTTACTAGGATTAAATGTCAGGAATTGTGAAAAACTGAGTTTAAATGTATTTGGCTAAGGTGTATGTAAACTTCCGACTTCAACTGTAAGCAAGGCAGAGGATAACAGCAGGTTATGTTTTACTGAACAAAAATATAAACGCAACATGCAACAAGTTCTAAGATTTTACTGAGTTGTAGTTCATAGAAATCAGACAATTGAAATGCATTTATTAGGCCCTAATCTATGGATTTCACATGACCTGGAATACAGACATGCATCTGTTGGTCACGGACACCTTAAAAAATGGTAGGGGCGTCGATCAGAAAAACAGTCAGTATCTGGTGTGACCACCATTTGCCTCATGCAGCGCGACACATCTCCTTCGCATAGAGTTGATCAGGCTGTTGATTATGGCCTGTGGAATGTTGTCTCACTCCTCTTCAATGGCTGTGCGATGTTTCTGGATATTGGCGGGAAGACGCTGATGCACACATCAATCCAGAGCATCCCAAACATGCTCAATGGGTGACGTCTGGTGAGTATGCAGGCCATGGAAGAATTGGGCCATTTTCAACTTCCAGGAATTGTGTACAGATCCTTGTGACATGGGGCCGTGCATTATTATGCTGAAACATGAGGTGATGGCGGTGGATGAATGGCACGACAATGGGCCTCAGGATCTCGTCACGGTATCTCTGTGCATTCAAACTGACATCTATAAAATTCAATTTTGTTCATTGTCCGTAGCTAATGCCTGCCCATACCATAATCTGTGGTGTTGTGTGACAAAACTACACATTTCGAAATTGCCTTTTATTGTCCCCAGTACAAGGTGCACCTGTGTAATGATCATGCTGTTTAATCAGCTTATTGATATACCACACCTGTCAGGTGGATGGATTATCTTGGCAAAGGAGAAATGCTAACAAAGTTGTCCACACATTTTTAGAGAAATAATATTTTTGTGCGTATGGAACATTTCTGGGATCTTTTGTTTCAGCTCATGAAACATGGGACCAACACTTTACATGTTCCGTTTATATTTTTGTTCAGTGTAGATTCTCTGTTTCAGAGGGATGGGAGGTGTGCAGGTTCAATGCTTACCTCCATAGTTTGTGATTGGTGCATCGATTTGATTGTTGACTGTGCCATCTGCCTTGCTGTAAAAGTGATAAACGCACAACCTGCAGAAGGGGAACAACTCGTAAATGGTTGACATACACGGTCCTGACTCCTGACAGCATTTAGAAACAGATCATGGAAAGCATACAGCCCAGATTGCAGCATGTTATGGAGTCTGGTAAGTTCTTGATTTAGTTAAACAGCCCCCAAAAAACACACTTGGAACAGTGTCAAACCGATATGTGGATCATCAATTACTAGAACTTAGTCAATATGCTACATCTAGAATGATCAAGTGATGACCTTGAGATTGTCACATTTTCTGTGAAAGGATTTGTATGGAAGATGTGTGAGATTTGTACATAAAAGGACAAATGAGAGTAATGACTTATCACCCATCTGTTTGCAACTATTTTAGAGTGAGTGTGTGGGAGTGTATGTACCGCATGTAGAGAGATGAATGTTAAAACAATGACTAGTCCTCATAGTATAACTGATAGAGTAAATGTGTATGTGTGTTTGGGTGCGTCTTGTTGAAGGTGTGTGTGGATGATGATGAGGATGAAAGGTGAACTGAATCTGCCTCACCACGGCTCAGTCCATCCGGCCCACGTAGTATTCTACATTCCTCAATCTGTCCGTACGGCGAGAACATAAGTCTGATGTCATTCTCATTACACTTTTTCGATATCATTCCTATGAACAACTTCCTGTCTTCCACCGCTGAATAAGACAATGAAGAAGAAAAGGTTGTTTCATCAAACAATGAGTAACTGCATTAGAGACAACATACAACAACAAGGGCAGCTTCTAAGAGATAGGGCTTCAACATAAAAACAAATTACCACACCATCCAACAGTCTCCCCTGCCTGCAGAGATGTAGCTATACTCACCATTATTCTTCTCACTGTCAGCTGGCTTCATCTGAATGGGGTGATGCATCTGGTGAGGAAAGACATTGAATTTAAAGGAAGCAAGAAGCGCTGACAGAGACTGCCTTGGTAGGTTTAAATGAATATGTGTGGTTGGCATCTCTAGGGCCCTATAAAATCTGCGATGCGGAGAACACAGACGGAATCCAGACATGAAAACGGAATTCAACAATATTGTATTGAACTTAGCAGGGAATCAACTAATTGTATTGAAAATTATTTACATTTGCACAAGTTTATCATAAGACATGAACAGAATGCATCAGTAATGCGTATTTCCTGCAACTTCCTGAAGAGGCAACGAGAATTCCCCCTGACTGTATGTGCGGTGTTCTGGTAGATGGAAAGGCTTTCCCAAAAACCTTCTCAATTAAATGTTAACTACAATGTAGCCTATGCTTAACTGGCAGAAAAATATCATTATTTGCATCAATCCAGTATTTGTTTTGTAAACTATCATCACGTGCTCTACAAAAACAGCTAAACAACAGCCTCTCCCTAGGTGCCACTGGAAATTAAAAGGGTAAATACAACACAAAAGATCCAGACCTCAAAATCAGTCTCCTGATGTGGTTTAACCATTGTTGTGGACTTAGAAACATCCCATTAGTTGTTTTCTATTTAAAGAAGGATGATTTTGAGAGGGAAAACCTGAAAAAAAACAGCGGGAAATGGAAACCTGGAAAAACAAATGGAGAAAACGGAATTTGGGGAAAAAACTAAACGTAATCAGGAAAAAAATACAACCGATTTTATAGGGCCCTACATCTCTCGAGATAAAAGCTGAACAGCAGTACTGACTGTTGTTGTACTACAATCTGGCAAGCTACCCAATACATTGCCTATTCGATTTACTGAGGAAGTTCAAAACGTCTACCAAACCTACTCACCCCTGGAAGAATTTTCATGTTGTGAAGGGCATTTTGTGCTTCCAATGATGATTTGCGAGTGTAATATGTTATGAAACAACAACCTGTTTGGAATGGGGATATAGACTGTTGTTAGACAAGGTAAATGTTACTCAATTACAAAATGACATTGATAGAGTATTGGTGGGCCATCTATGCCTCCTTTATTAAAAAGGCTAAGGCTGCGTGACCGAAGGTAACCACCCCAGTCCCCGCCGGCAGCCTCTTCCCCAGAGCTAAAGAACACATTCTGTACATGTGTTACTTTACGCACACATCCCCCTCCCTTCACGTTTCTCTCCCTCTTCTGAACCCTTCCTATCAACCAATTGATCGACATGATGTAGGCTAGCCTACATCCGAGTCTCATATTTCTGAACAGCTGATATAAAAACCTGAGACTTGAACAAACATTCCCAAAATATATATATATTTTGTAGGCTAATTTAGGATGTAGGCTACAACCTTCTCGGGCTGTTGTAAATAAGGATATTGCAGTAGCACAAGTAGGGCGCGGTCAACACATTGCACTGGAGCAAAAACTCTCTGCGTTTTAACCACAAATAACATACATCTGTTAAAAAACTGAAAAAAGAACACTACCATTTTGACTGCCCATCTTCCTCCAGCTAAGCCAATGTTTGCAATGATAATGAAAAAAAAGAACATTCAATCGCTAATTCGACTGCCTGTCTGAGTCCTGCTTGTTTGGAGGGAGGTAGAAGTAAAGTAGAGAATCCCGCAAATACACAGACTAAGCGTTGTTTAGCTATCGAGAAGAGGATTCCAGAGAATTCAGTAACACAGCCAATATATATATATAAAAAAGGCAGGGAATTCTGGATAGGGTGAGGGGGGAAGTGTAATGGACACCTCTCGTGAAGAACTCAATACAGCACTGTCACCTTTGCTCTGTGGGGGGTTTTGACTCCTGTCACGCAACACATTGATTTCGTAGACGGCGCCGTAAGGCTCAAAAAGCTCCCGCAGCTGTTCCTCTGCCCAGGACCGTGGGATCTGGCCAACGAACATCTTGATGGCATCGATGTCGGGCTGGTCCGGGTGGTCCAGGGTCCCGTTCATCTTCTTTGCCCTGAGAGAGAAAGAAGAGAACGGTTGTTATAATATGGCTACATGATGTGAACTTGGGCAACAGAAGCTACATTTACAAGCAGTCTTCCCCAGTGGTACATTAAATATGTCCCTGCTGGAAATAACATATTTGCATAATACACTAAGCAGCTGGAAGCTTCACAAAATGGCATCTTTCGAGCAAAGGCTGTTTTGTAGAAAGGTACAATCAAGTGTAGACTATTTCAGTAGCACTGCATAACTTGTAGTCAAGTAAAGTTGTTATTAAGTGTCAGTTGAAAGAGCTGCCATGTGACTGAGGAAACATTCTAACATGCATACAAAAACATACAGCACCAAATGCATACTACCAGCAGAGAATTGACCTATGCAACTAAGACCAGCTCTAAAGAGAAGGATCTTGAATGTGAAGTTTGTTTTGGGGGATCTGATCATTCATAACCAAACAATGATTCATCTCATGCAATATTGAAGGCTGCACAGAACAAAACAAGAAAATTATACTAGTCTACATCAAGTACATCCTTGTCAAATCCATAATGTGTATGAATTCATATAAAAGCCATTTAAAAATGTTTTGAATTTGTGCAAGCACAAAACAACTAGATTTTTGGTTGACAAACACCTACTGTACCTCCATATCATCACAGTAGTCTAATCAAGACTGTCTAACCTACTAAAGTAGTCCAATTCTGACTAGGCTAATTATATTCTGAATGCATTTTTATGCTTTTGCCATGCTCATTCCAACACCAATCAAATTCAGTGTTTAAGCCTATATCACATTTCAAAGACAAATGTAAGTAGGATTTATTCAGATTGTACAAAAGATTTCAAAGAGGACTGCACATTTCATGCTAACGAACCATTGAAAAGGTACCAAAGTGGGGGGTTAAGTGAGCACTACTGATTAATAATAGGATGATCCATTACCAAATAGGCCAGAAGGTAGGGTTGGAGGATATCCCTAAAACCAAAACAAAAAAGTGGCATAATCAAGGAAATAACGAGGGAGAGGAGAAAGATAAAGAAGTGATAGAAAATCTTTTGAGGGTGATATGATACACAGTGCATTCAGAAAATATTCAGACCCCTTCTGTTTTTCCACATTTTGTTACGTTACAGCTTTATTCTAAAATTAGTTAAATTAGTTTGTTTCCTCATCGATCTACACACAAGACCCCATAATGACATGTATTAAAAATAATGTATTAAAAATAAAAAACTGAAATATCATTTTTACATAAGTATTAAGACCCTTTACTCAGTACTTTGTTGAAGCACCTTCAGCAGCGATTACAGCCTTGAGTCTTCTTGGGTATGACGCTACAAGCTTGGCACACCTGTATTTGGGGAGTTCCTCCCATTCTTCCCTGCAGATCCTGTCAAGCTCTGTCAGGTTGGATGGGGAGTGTCACTGCACAGCTATTTTCAGGTCTCTCCAGAGAGGTTCGATCGGGTTCAAGTCTGGGCTCCACTCGAGGACATTCAGAGACTTGCCCCGAAGCCACTCCTGCGTTGTCTTGGCTGTGTGCTTAGGGCCGTTGTCCTGTTGGAAGGTGAACCTTCACCCCAGTCTGAGGACCTGAGCGCTCTGGAGCAGGTTTTCATCAAGGATCTCTCTGTACTTTGCTCCATTCATCTTTCCCACGATCCTGACTAGTCTCCCAGTCCCTGCCGCTGAAAAACATCCCCAACGCATGATGCTGCCACCACCATGCTTCACCGTAGGGATGGTATCGGCCAGGTGATGAGCGGTGCCTGGTTTCCCCCAGATGTGACGCTTGGCATTCAGGCCAAAGAGTTCAATCTTGGTTGCATCGGACCAGAGAATCTTGTTTCTCATGGTCTGAGATTCCTTTAGGTGCCATTTCGCATACTCAGAGCAGGCTGTCATGTGCCTTTTACTGAGGAGTGGCTTCCGTCTGGCCACTCTACCATAAAGTCCTTATTGGTGGAGTGCTGCAGATATGGTTGTCCTTCTGGAAGGTTCTCTCATCTCCACAGAGGAACTCCGGAGCTCTGTCAGCCCGGCCAAACTGAGCAATCGGGGGAGAAGGGCCTTGGTCAGGGAGGTGACCACGAACCAGATGGTAATCCTGACAGAGTTCTAGAGTTCCTCTGTGGAGATGGGAGAACCTTCCAGAAGGACAACCATCTCTGCAGCACTCCACCAATCAGGCCTTTATGGTAGAGTGGCCAGACGGAAGCCACTCCTCAGTAAAAGACACATGACAGCCCGCTTGGAGTTTGCCAAAAGGCACCTAAAGACTTTGAGACCATGAGAAACAAGATTCTATGGTCTGATAAAACCAAGATTAAACTCTTTGGCCTGAATGCCAAGTATCACGTCTACGACTGGAGGAAACCTGGCATCATCCCTACGGTGAAGCATGGTTGAGGCAGCATCCTGCTGTGGGGATGTTGTTCAGCGGCAGGGACTGGGAGACTAGTCTGGATCGAGGGAAAGATGAACAGAGCAAAGTACAGAGAGATCCTTGATGAAAACCTGCTCCAGAGCGCTCAGAACCTCAGACTGGGGCGAAGGTTCACCTTCCAACAGGACAATGACCCTAAGCACACAGCCAAGACAACGCAGGAGTGGCTTCGGAACAAGTCTCTGAATGTCCTTGAGTGGCCCAGCCAGAGCCGGACTTGAACCCGATCGAACATCTCTGGAGAGACCTGAAAATAGCTGTGTAGCGACACTCCCCATCCAATCTGACAGCGCTTGAGAGGATCTGCAGAGAAAATGGGATAAACCAAGCTTGTAGCATCATACCCAAGAAGACTCGCGGCTGTAATCACTGCCAAAGGTGCTTCAACAAAGTACTGAGTAAAGGGTCTGATTAATTATGTAAATGTACCTTCCGATTTTTTTTTGTGTTACATTTGCAAAAATGTCTAAAACCAGTTTTTCCTTTGTGATTATGAGGTATTGTGTGTAGATTGATGGGGGGGGGACAATTTAATCCATTTTAGAATAAGGCTGTAACGTAACAAAATGCGGAAAAAGTCAAGGGGTCTGAATACTTTCCGAATGCACTGTATCTTATAACTATTAAGTGAACTTTCTAAAATGTGCCAAATCAATTCCCTCCAGTTGTTTATTTGGTTTGCTAACTTGCTAGCCAAGTGGCTATTGCAAGATCAAGCTTCTGAGTCTTGGTAAGAGCAGAGACAATCCCCTCCTTGATTAAGATCTGTTGTCTAATATTTGTTTTGTGCATGCAGAAGGAGTATTAAGTGCCTAAAATGCCAAGCAATTCTGTGTTTAGGTTTATAACTGAGACTTTAAAGAGTAAGCCAATCGTTAAGGCTTGTGCTAATATTTTGTTTATGGCATGCAGAAAAAAACAGAGTTAGACCCAAAAAGAAGCTACTTTTTTTGGCGTTTGCAGTAGCGAAAGGTTGCTTGTTCGAATACCTAGATGTCAAGGTTGAAAACTCTGTCAATGTGCTCTTGAGCAAGGCACTAACCTAATTTGCCTAGGGGCAGCCGTACTATATCCGGTTGGACCAGTAGTAAAAAAAATTCACGGTACCGACCCTATCAGGTGTATGTGACCCAAAAAAAAGATATACTTTTTTTGGTCTGTCCTTGCAATTAGTTTATGTTCTTTAAAAGTAAAAACACAAGATCAACAAATAATAAGCAACAACCTTTCCTAACGATTTCCCTGTAGAGAAATTGACAGATAACCATGGCAAAATATGTAGTCCACAGTATGCATAAACTTCAGCCAAACATACTTGTTTTAAAGCCTCTGACATGTACAATAACTACTGATTGTAAGTTGATCTGGATAAAAGCGGCTGCTAAATTATAAAAATGTAACTGCACTGCATACGGAATACAGACTCTGAACCATTATGGGGGACACTTGGTGAGTATGCACCTGTTGAAAACTCACTCTTCTACCATTTTCCCATCCAACACCTACATATCAAATTTAAAAGCACCAAGTTTTGGACTGGAACATTATGGTAAGCAAAAAAATGTCAAGTCACATGCTGGGACCAAACTACAGATCAAGAAATTGAGCATCAGCTGAAAATACACAGCTGAATACAACGTGGAACCCCCCATATTCCGTACAAGCAATAGGCTATTAACCCATTGCTAAAAAAAAAAGAAGATAAACTACTTACACAGGACTAGAATTCAAAGAGCAATGGTCAACCATCATCTCAGGCAAAAAATCCAGTTTAAAAGAAGCCATGTTTTTGGGTATCTTCCCTTTTCCAAAGTAAAAAATAAAGAAACTCGATCACACTTTTTCACGCCAGAGAAGTCAAGATACACTGCAAACCACTAGAGCCTGCTCAGAAACTGTTCTTCAAGAGTGTGAACTTGTGGAAAGAAGCATAAGAGAGGCTGCTGTGGGAAAACTATGGTGAAACCACATGAAGGCTGATCCAAAACTACGAGAAGTAACAAAAAATGGTAAAGAACCAACAACTTCAATTAATTGGACAACGGTGAAACTTTGAACCAGAGTAGAACACACAACAAATCCTCACTGTCCAAAAAACTGGGTCTAGATTAACAGAAGAGTAGGCAGGCCACTAAAAGCTGTGGCCCCGGGTGCCACAAAGAAAGTGCTGATGGGCTGGGGCTTTTTGTGAGCATTTCTCTTAGCCAAGCAGAACTGGGTGCAGCGTCAGATAAATAGAGTGTCAGATTGATGCTGATAAGGGCGAGTGACTGTCCGGAATGAATGGAGAACGGGAGCGAGCTGGTAATCCCTGCACTAATATGAGGCTGGGGAGACAATCAGGTTCCGGCACTGGGACTCGGTCACCCTGTTGTTCTGTGGCAGTCAGGAGGGGGGTGGGTGGGTGGGAGGGAGGGCTGGGTCATATGACATTGGTCGCATTAACTCCCACCCTAACCCCCTGACCTTATACAAGCCACAGGCATGGCAGCGAACACATAAACAAGGAGGGCAACCTGTGTAAACAACCTGGGCAGTGGATGGCTCTATAAACTTGCCCAT